TGGCGCGCCAAAACAGGTAGTTGTCCGGCGTGAGACGAGTCGTGATGAGGTTGTCGAAGTGGAACGGCCCGGAGTTCAGGGCAGCGTCGGTGGCAGCTACCGCGGACACCGCCGGGGCTGGGGGTGTCACACCCGCACGCTGATCGTCAGAGCCCCCCGAGGCCGCCGGCATGATGGCGAGTGTCGGGGACGAGCCAGCGGTAGCCGCCGGTGGCGCGAACATCGCGGCGGGGGAGGCCGCCACGGTCGATGGCGCAGGAGACGGCGGGATCGGGGCGGAAAACAGCGAACCCACCGCCGCGGTGCCGAAGAAGTGCGGCGTCGGCGAGGCACCAGTGCGGGCAGGAAGATTCAGCAGGGCGGCCAGCGTTGCGGGTATGGTCCCGGAGCTGGCAGAGTTAGAGGCGGAAGCAGTCATTGCAGCGGCGACGGCGGCGGCCCTAGGGTTGGGGCGCGGCGGCTGAGACGGAGGTGAAGTAGGTCCTAGGTTTAGGCTGATACCATATTAGATGTAAGATTTGTGGGAACTGGCTCAACCCTCTAGGGATGGCCTATCACATATATTTATAATGATACACGATATACATATTACACAGTTAGGCTACGTTACAAAGTCTAACACGACATTAATCAGCAGCTTTGCGCGGGCCTCCGGCCGACATCACGGCGGAGACCTGCAGCACCGACATGTCGCCAGGCGCTTCGTGCACGGACCCGACGAAGAAGGCGGCTTGCCAGAAGCCGGGGCCGGAGCCCATGGGCAGGAACCTCGCTCGCCCCTCGTCACCGAGCCCGAGCCCGGGCATGACGATCTTCACCATGCCGTCGGCCCCGGCCCCGGAGCGGGAGGCCGGGAACAGGGTGGACGCCACTGCGGAGCCGCCTGGCGGGAGGCTACGCAGCCTGGCGTTGTCGTAGTCGGTGAGGACGTGGAGCGAGAGGCGGCGCTGTATCGCCGCACGTGGCATGCGACGCGCCCTGAGCGGAGCCATGCCGGCATTGTCGACGGCGAGGACCGTGATGGGGGCGTTGCGCCGGTTGATGTCGTGCGTGAGGCCGGTGGACGCCAGCAGGCTGGTGAACTCGCCGAGGTCCGGGCGTGCCGCGAGGATGGCGGTGATGTTGTGGGCGACGCCGTGGCACGCCGCCAGGGGCACGGACAGGCCGAACAGGAGGAGCAGGGCGGACGAACACTTGGCGGTGAGGAATGCCATTGTGTACTGCACTACTGCACTTTTGGTGTATGAAAGAGGCGAGCGAGGATCTGAACCGTACCCCTGCTTTTATAGCAAATGGTGGTGGCTTAGCTTGACACACGAGTCCAGTACAAGCTAGTAGTTGCTACTTGGTGTGGAAATTAGTCACCGCTCAGGCTTAGGCTAGTCACAGTGGGAGTAACTTCAATAAAATTTTGCTTATATGACAAGTAGTTAATGAAAGATGGTAACATAATATGTTATTATAACATGAGTTTACAAGTTAATAAATAAAGCCATTTATGATACTACTATTATGTTATTTTGCATTATGAATATAGTAACTTAGACTAATGTCATGTATATGATACTAGTCTAAGTTACTCCCCACTATGATCAGTCTTTTAGTGTCGTGTTTACTTACTGCGAATCATGGGTCGCTTGGCGCTTCGACTTTCGTACCGATAATAGAAGCGGATCATATGGATTGGAGGGAAAGCACGCTCATTTAGGGCGACATACGATGTGATGTAGAACCACAACATAGTAGCAAAGGGATCAGATTTAGAAATTTAAATCTGTTCCAAACTTAACTTGAAAATAAAGTATTTTCAAGTTAAGTTTGAAACAGACCTACAGGTACGGTCAGACAACAATGTCCCATTAAGCATGCACTCTGATCCATCAAGGGATGGCCTCATGACCGAGGAAGTGAGGTGAGTTTCATCTACTTCCGTTCTAAATTACTCGCCGCAGAAATAAATGTATCTAGAACTAAAATATATCTAGATACATTCATACATGCGACAAGTAATTTGAAACGAAAGAAATAGCTGAACTGGATTTCTTGGCGGTACACCGGCCTTTCAGCAGGTGTACCCAGTAGGAATATGAATGATCCATGTCGTCATGTGCAATTGGAAACAGGCAATGCCGAGAGAACGAAGCAACCAGACCGACCATATGGCAGGCAGACCTCCGAGTCTCCGAGGAATGCTATGTACGTGCATGTTCGGTTCAAGGTCTGTTCTAAACATTGTTGGACACTCTGAGTCTCTCACTGCACACAGGACCCGCACACTATCCGCGTTTAGGTATTCTTCGGGGGAAAAAAGAACTTGAACGAGCACCACTACTCCACTAGCTACACGTACCAAAATGGACTAGGCAACTTCCGGATACTAACATAGTAGTAGTGCTATATCTTTATTCCACCACCTAGTGTCTAGCTATTTTCATCTCAGAGCAGTTAGGTTCAACCCTCAAAAGTAATAACATAAAAAGAACAGTCAGTTTCGGGAGCTTTTCCATCGCAGTGATAGCAATTTATTCAAGATCGACCATTACATGGCAGGCAAACCTCAAGAGATCATGGACATATCGAGATCGTCGATGGTACAAAACCTCACACACGTCACAACCTCCGGGCCCAGTTTCTATGCAGTGTACGTCACAAGATTTGTGAAACATTCTTAAATTTTGACCACAACATGTTGATGTCATATGAAGTCATCATGCCTTCGTGTTTCAAGACTTTATTTTCATTTATTGGAATTAAAAAACCAATTAACTCCATGTTTAGTGTCGAATCTTGGCACCCAGATGTCTGCAATTCCTTTTTTTTTCATGGATAAGGCCTAAACATAAACTAAAGAACATAAACAACAATTTCAATTTTTCTAACCTTTTCATGCACTTGTAGTTCAAAATTTTATTTATATTGATAAAATGCCTAGAAATGCAATAAACAACTTAAATATAACAAACGAACCGCGAAAAATGACAAAATTTGACATGGAACATGCATGTAATGGTGTATGTTCAGTGTAGAAAACATTTCAAGCTCAGCCGATGAAGCAGTGGTCGCTTTGTCTTCAAACCTGACCAGTGGATCCCTCTTGAAACCTAGATTCTTCATCGGAGAGTGCCCAGTTTCTAAGCATTGTACGTCACAAGAATTGTGAAACCTTCTGAATTTTCACCACAACATGTCAATGCCATATGAGGGCACCATGGCAATTTTCATGTTTTCCAAGCTTTGTTTGCATTTTTGGGAATTAAAAGGCCAATAAACTCCAGGTTCGGCGTTGAGCCTTGGCAACCAGATGTTAGGAGTTTCTTCCCTTTTCTTGGATAAGGCCAAAATATGGCCTAAAGAACACAAATATTATTTTTCAACCCAATTTTGCCATTTGTTTCATGCACTTGTGGTTCAAATTTGAATTATATGTAGTAAATGCATGAAAAGTACAATAAGTGATTTACTTATAGCAAAGGAACTTCTTAAAATTCCAAATCTTGACATAGACATTCTAATGGTGTATCTTGAGTGTACAAAAAAAAATCAAGGTTAACTGATGAAGCAACCACCACTTTTTCTTCAAACCTGAGCCCCTGTCTCTCGAAACCTGGATTCTTACCTGGAGATGGCCCTATTCCTAAGTAGTATACATCACAACTTCTGGGAAGCTTCTAATTTTTTGCCACAATATGTTGAAGCAATATAAGGGCATCATGCAAAGTTTCATGTTTTCAGATTTTGTTTGCATTTTCCATAATGAAAGAACTAATAAACTCCATGTTCACGGTCGAGTCTTGGCACCCCAATGATTGAAATTTCTTCCATTTTCTTGGATATGGCCCATACATAGACTAAAGAAAACAAATATGATTTTTCAACTCAACTTTGCCATTTTTTCATCCACTTACGGTTCAAATTTGAATTATATTCGCCAAATGCCTAAAAATGCACTAGATGACTAC